GCCTAAAAAAGCAAATTCTTTGGTTATTTTAGAAAATGGGGCTATTTTGGAAACGCGGGGTTATTATAAAAAATATTTCGTCCAAAATTGCCCCGCTCACCCAAAAACCCCAGTTTTTTTTTAAATATATATTGTCCTTAAAATACGTATTATTTCTGAGTAATAACACCCACACAAACTTTTTTGCAAACCCATAGCTGCATTCACTCATTTTTACTAGTGTGCAGTAGTGAAAGTTTGACCATATTTATTTTCGCATGTGGTTTGCCATGGGTTTGCCCGTTTGCCGGCGCCTAGAGCTACCAGCCCGCAACAAGTACTGACTGGCTTTTCGCGGTGTTCTGTGCCTTTTTTCACTCGGGAAAATAACCTGGTATTCTGTAACGATATAAAAGGACTCCAGACGATTGGCGCCTTTTTATTGACAGTTCTATACGTAGTTTAAAATACCTTTTACATAATGGTAACAAATACGGCTCAATTCCTATTGGCCATTCTACCTATCATGAAAGAGGAATATGAAACAATAGCACTAATTTTGAAAAAAATTAAATACATTAAACATCAGTCGGCAATTTGTGTTGATTTAAAAATGGTAAACTTACTCCTTGGATAGTAAAGTGGATATACAAACCCCTGTTTTTCATGTCTTCGGGACAGTAGAGCTATATGTTTTTTTGTTTTTTTTTTTAACTGGCAATTATAACGTATATACTAAATACTGGATTCTGCACCCAAAAATTACCCACGAACAGTTAGAAAATCGCAGGTACCAAAATGTCTGTTGGCTTGTGTAATTTTTTCCCAGCGCACAAATTCAAAAATTCCCATAAGCCTAGTCCTTTTATTACAATAATGCTTACACAAATTATAAGTACATCAAAGGACGAAACAAAATTTACATTCCGATACTTTTCATCGATTTTAATTCCAAATCCAGCAAATAAAAAATACGCATAATTGCAATAATTTAAGTAATTGTAAGTGAAAGCCAGATTTGTAACATAAAACAGTAACGAACTACTTACGGTCTTGCGGCACTCGATAATCTATCAAGAGATAAATTGTTGGTTTTTTACAATAAACTTCATTTACTGCACTTTGTTTTATAGATAATTATTAAAAGCCTAAACTATGCTGTAATTCTCGATGAATACTTTCAATAAATAAAAAAGTGAAACTGACTAAACAATAGGATTTACTCTGTTTGATTTGATTAAAAAATACATTTTGTTTTCAAATTGTGTAGGTTGTGTTTATGAACGCCGTTAGATCTGTTTTTATTTCTGGTTGTTTAGTTTCATTTTATTAGTCAGAATATTCAGATCAATAGGATGCCTATGGGTGACAAAGAGTGATAAACAGTGCCTCCGAACCGTGAAAACCTGGGGTTTATCCCCCAGAGTCGTCACATGGACTTAGACGGCGTTGTTAACATACGGTCTAGCAGTTGTTTATGTATCGAAAACCTAATAATTGACAGCTATCAGCAAACTAGGACAAATTCAAAGAACAGCATCTCTCAACATAACAGGAGCCATGAAATCCATACTAACCAGAGCCATGAAAGTCATTCTTAGAGTCACTCTCCTTACATCGAAGAGGTTGCTCTGATAACAATAAAACGACTCCGCATTGTTGGAATAGAACCTGATGCAGGACCTGGTGAGGTAAGATGTCGCTTTTAGCAGAAGGCACTTAATACGCTTCCACTGCTTCGAGCGAACATGGAAGTGACAGGTACGATTCATATCTACACCGACGGTTCTAAAACGAAACAAGGTTCAAGATGTGGAATGTACTCCAGAGTGTTTAAACCAGTGTAGTTCAAATCGAACGAACTCATATCAGCAATTGAAATTACCATAAACAATATCACCATCAACCAAACTATCTATTCAGAACGGACTAAAGAAAAACCACGAAAACAAGCAAATGTGCCGGTTAAAACCTATAAAAACATCCTACCAAAAACAGTGAATACGACCAGATTCAAAAACCAGAGTAATTCCAACCCACTAACTGCTAATAACCTATGGTTTAGCAAAGAGCGAGAGGCAGGGACTCCCACGAAAAATGAAAATATTTTAAACTCAAATGTGATCAAGACGTAAAATATATTAAAATAATATAAATAAAACTAAAGCCAATATCACATAAATTACGAGCGACCGTTTCCCTTCAGAAAACAACTACTCTTTTGGCTAATACTGCAACAGGTATTTAATTATATTTAAAGGAAAGACGACAGAGATAGAAATTAAATTTCAACACTCTATCTTTGATTTTGCTCACTACGGAGAACATCATTCTTGGACCGGTTTATTCCTTACTAGGACTCTTCAGCAAGAAATAGATAGGTTCTCAATTTCAGTATCTAATGGGATTAACAAATGCTAGACATTGCGTATAATTTACCTTGTTAATCACTTTAATTAATATACTTTTATGAAAAATAAAATAATTAAAGTTAATTCAATTTAATTTTGACTAGATATATTTTTAAAACAGAAATCCTACCTCTCTTATCACTGAAATATTTATAGTATTTAAAAAAGGAACAAATATATCTTTTAACAATAACATAAAAACATATAATTTTAGAAAAGCAAATATACGAGATCTTTATAAAGAAATAATGGATACTGAATGGAATATTTTAAGCAGTAGCGAGTAAGTTGATCAAGCATTGAAATGTTTTTATGACCACATTTTAACTATCTTTGATAAGCATATACCGGTGTATACAAATTTTAGTTATAGATATACTCCATGGGATCGCAAATTGGTTGCTTACGGGAAAGAAATGGTGGGGCGAGATACCGGTCGTTTAACAAAAAATAAGTTTGACCTGGGAAAATCATTTCAGGATTTGTACCCCGTAGACGCTGACAAATTTCCTGAAAAAGAATTTAATTTCGTGTAGCTTAAGTTTTTTCGAGAAAAAATACTATCAGCTATATTCCTCGCCGATAATAATAACAAAGTTGACTTGCAAATGAATACAGAACCTTAATCATCATCACTACACGAAAACGTTTCTAAGGAAACACCCGATCCAACTGTAACTGATGACATTAATAAAGCTTCAAGCTCAAAATCACAGAGTCCCACAAAGCAACAACTTATGAATATCTTTAGAACGTCGCCTGGGATATCGCCTAAAATAAAATTAGACACATCTAAACCATCTACCTCTGAACCAAATGTTAAAAAAGTCACACCACGCTTGAAACAATTAGCATATGGAGAGGTTCTTACGACAGAAGATGTTCTAAACCGAATTAAACAAAAAGAGGAGAAGAGTAGAAAAAAATCAGGGGGAAAAAGAAAACGATCAATTACAAAATTACCAATTATTGTCAAAGAAAGTCAAAAGGTCATGAAACTTAAAAGGTAGAGACTTAATTCAGAATTATTAAGTTCAGATTTGAGTGAAGAGATACTTTCATATGCAGAAACCGATGAAGAAATAGAAGAGTTTGAAGACCTGAGGCCAATGGAAATAAACAAGTTAAAAAAAGGATCATTTGCAGTAGTCGCCTTTAAAGGAGGAAAAAGAATCACTATGTCTTACAGATATTTATGTATTTAAATAAGTTTGGAGCAAATACCCAGATAAGACGTCAAGAGCATCAAAGTGACTGTGAGTACAGAAAGCGAAGCCACGAACAAAATCGTTATTCACCATAATATAACGGTCATCGAAGCAGAAAAAGTTAGTGAAAAGAAATCAGTAATCACAAGGAAGTTAAAGAACAATCCGAAAGTAAGGAGAAATATGAAGAAGAAGGGGAGCGTACTACAGCTCTACTGACAGCGATGGAGGGTCAGAGAAGGATGTAATAATTATGGACGCTAATAAAAATGTAGAAGCCATAAAATCCGAAGAAAGTACAGATAATACCAAAGGCGGAAAAAGTAAGGCGAATTCTCAAAATTACATTTTGTATACCGACATGGACTTGGACAATAAAGATGATCAAGATGACGACAAGAAGCCACAATAAGAAAGTGAGGAGAATATACTTGGCTTTCAGGATATGTCACGAAAATCAACAACCCGACTAAGATCACCATAAAACTAATGGAACTACTGACAGGAACTGTGTAACCAGAGCCCTGGACTTTGGACCTGGGGTATTGATTTTAAACCCAGATGTGAAAGCGTGGAGAAAGTCTAAATGGCTAGCGGATCGAGTAGCTCAAAATTCAGCGATGTCAACTCAGTAATGCAGACACGTCAATTATTAAAAAGAACAACTCCGTAGGGGAAGAAATCGTAATACCAAGTGATCCAGCAAATCAGTACCAGACTACTAAGAATGAAATGAACCTAACAGTCAATTTTTTCTAATATTTACATTACATTTTTAAAATCGAAAGAGTGCAAATTTTCTAACGCGAGTTCTGTAAGGACAGTAGAATTTTCTTCAATAGGTGAACTATTATTTTTATAGTTTTTATTCTTTTGTGGAAATATTGTTTTGTTTGTCCAATGTAAGTGGAATTACAATTTTCGTAGTCAATTTTATAATTTTATTTATTTTGGGCTTAAAATTTCAGAATAACGTTTTTGTTGCACCTATTGTTGGATTTATGAAGAAATTTATCCAAAAAATAATTTAGACACTTTTGTTCTGGAAATACTTTTACATATATGGCAATGAAATATAATTAGTATTTAATATAAGTGTTATTATTAGTATTGTTAATAGTACTATTATTATACTTTATACTGGGTTAGTTCTGCAGGAATTTAAATATAGTTCATCCCTTATATCAATTATACAGGATGAAATCATGTAAATTGAACGAAATAGATCAAAATTGCTTTCTATCATCATAATTATCAACTCTACTTATTTTAAAACAATCTACGTACTTGGTCAAATTTTTTAATTCAGTATATGTACATTTAGGAAACGTTTGAATATTCTAAAACATAATATAATGAAAATTTTATGTACTATAGGATCTAATTCATCATTTTTTTTCAGTTATTCGAGTTACTGAAAAAAATAAGGGGACCGGACATTATTAAAAAAGTCATAGCAGTAGCAGGAGACGTAAGCCTTCCCGACTTAGGATTATCAAAAGAAAGTAGAGAACTTATTATAGAGGAAGCAGAAATAATATTCCACTGCGCAGCAACTATTAGATTTGATGAATCCCTGAAGAAGGCCGTGCTACTGAATGTTAGAGGAACGAAACTCATGTTAGAATTAGCAAAAGAATGTAAAAAATTAAAAGTAAGTATAACTTTTGGGATAGTAGTAATGGTTTGCGTTAAGAGTCGTTCCTATTCAATGCCATATATGTTTCCTATTAGAGTTTTCATAAGTTTATAATTCTAAATATTTTTCTTGATTACTAAACTTTGGTTGTTCTTGTTGTGGTCTGCTGTTAACACTATTTCCCTGAAATATTTTCAAAGCTAGATAAAGGTTTCTCCTTTTTTTTTGCCGACTTTTTTAACCTACTCTACTGTTATTCTGCATGCAGACAAGTACTTCTTTTTTACTGGAGATTTTCTGCCAAATTTCGGCCAATTTTAAGAAAGTACCTTTGTTGTAAAGGTATTTCAAAGCCATCCGTTGTAAGATGTAGCGAACAAATACATGCTTTAATTGTATAGAAAACAAATTACAAGATATTACACAAAATTATTATTCAAATTAAATACAAATGAAGCGAATATTACCTACCAACAATTTAAAAGCAGCTAAAATAAATAAACTTAGGGGACTGGAGCCCTAAAAAAGGGAGCCTCAATTTGTTCTGAGTTATAAGAAAATTGTCTTCATCTCTTCATATTGTTTTAAACTAAACCAAACCAAAACAGCACAAAATTGAAAGTGGTTTACTTTTCACGACGTATTCTATGTATATGTGAGATTATTAATAATTGATTAAATTTAAATATTTTATTCTAAAAAATCTGGGTGTTTTATCATGAAAATGTCATTTAAAAAAACCGGTGAATGTTTTTTTTTTAACATTGGCAGGTCTGGCGACTACTATTTCGGAAAAATGGACGCTATGTCGAGACCCCCTTAGATATACCAGCCCTGGTTGCTTGTTTCTTTTATGAAGTCCTGATAAAAAAAATTCAAAAATTTGGAATATATTTAATAACGCATAGATAGTTTATCTTAAAAGTTGTTATCTTAAAAATATTTATTTTAACCTACGTATATTTACCATTAATTCATTTTATTATGATTCACATTATATTATAAACAGTGAAACGATTTCAAAATTATATAAGTGTAGCTAAAAAAAAACGATTTTTTTTCGTTTATTGCTTTTCTTTCACAATTTTAACATCTCCTTCAATAAACGTCTCCCTAAACCCCTGTATGCAAATTTTCCATTTACCACAGCAGTGATATTAATTATTTTTTGAAAGCATATTTATGATCTCTGCTGCTTTTCCTTTGACATCTCTATTGAATCAAGATTACTTTCAGTGTTGCTAGATCAACATGAAGCGAGATTCGGTGATTAGGGTGGATGTTTTGGTATAGGGTTTTTCTATAATTGTCTAAAAACCTCTTGACGAAAGTGCAGTATAGGCTGCAGCGTTGTCCTGATAAAGAAACCATTTCCGTGTTTCGTTAAAATCTTCTTATTCAATTCCTAAGGTTGTTTTTGAGGTGCAAGATTGGCCTGTGAGCGATTCGTTCGTCTGCGTTCCCTTTTCGTCTGTCGTTTATCAATCAAAAACCTAAGTGAGTAATAAACACTCATCTCCATATTCTTCTTTTATTAAAACATGTTTATATTAAGGATTTTCCGAGTTACACATGCAATTTTATTTTGATGCGTTGCTCTTCTTGAACAAGAATATGTTTCTAGCGAAGCCACTTTGATAATGACAGCCGTTTGTCCGCAGAACGATCACTCCAGTTTGTTATAGCCACACTTAGTAGTAATTATTTTATGATTAGCCCAATCGAATTAGGTGAAGAACAGGCTTGAGATTCTGAAAAATTCGAAGCAGCAATTTTCCTTCGGAATTCGTTGGAGGGGGTCTGTGGTAGTCTAAATTCAAAAAGTTGGGATTCCAAAGTTGTCGTTACCTCCGCCAGCTTGATTTAAAGGGTTATTTTTTTTATCTTGAATAACTCATTTATTTTCAATTTTACACGGAAAATAGTTTTTACAAAAGTTATTTATAATTAAATTTCCTACAATTCTGCTTTTTTTTGTACGATCGATTTTTTTCGATTTATACCCGAAAAGAGGGGGTGAATTTTTGGTTATAGAATAACTCGTTTATTTTCAATTTTACGAGAAAAATTGTTATAAACAAAGTTGTTTAAAATTAAATTTCCTACAATTCTGTTTTTTTTTGTACGCTCGATTTTTTTGTATTTATCCCTGAGAAGAGTGGGGGTAAACTCTTAGAAAAAATCGGAATCATAATTGTACCAAATAACATTTTTGAAAATCAGCAAAAAAAACAAACAGAAAAAATAATGGTACAACATCAATAATAAACGTGACAATACAATACTTAGGTTCACCCCCACTCTTCTCAGGGATAAATACAAAAAAATCGATCGTACAAAAAAAAAACAGAATTGTAGGAAATTTAATTTTAAACAACTTTGTTTATAACAATTTTTCTCGTAAAATTGAAAATAAACGAGTTATTCTATAACCAAAAATTCACCCCCTCTTTTCGGGTATAAATCGAAAAAAATCGATCGTACAAAAAAAAGCAGAATTGTGGGAAATTTAATTTTAAACAACTTTTTTTATAACAATTTTTCTCGTAAAATTGAAAAACGAGTTATTCTATAACCAAAAATTCACCCCCTCTTTTCGGGTATAAATCGAAAAAAATCGATCGTACAAAAAAAAAGCAGAATTGTGGGAAATTTAATTTTAAACAACTTTTTTTATAACAATTTTTCTCGTAAAATTGAAAAACGAGTTATTCTATAACCAAAAATTCACCCCCTCTTTTCGGGTATAAATCGAAAAAAATCGATCGTACAAAAAAAAGCAGAATTGTAGGAAATTTAATTTTAAATAACTTTTGTAAAAACTATTTTCCGTGTAAAATTGAAAATAAATGAGTTATTCAAGATACAAAAAATAACCCTTTAAATCAAGATGGCGGAGGTAACGACAACTTTGGAATCCCAACTTTTTGAATTTAGACTACCAGAGACCCCCTCCAACGAATTCCGAAGGAAAATTGCTGCTTCGAATTTTTCAGAATCTAAAATACTAATCCGATTGGGCTAGATACTCACTTTGGACCCTTTTAATTTTATTATTATTTTTTTTTTTCAGATATTTTCACATATGTCCACAGCTTACTGCCATCTTCACGAAAGAGTTTTGTATGAAAAAGTATATCCACCGCCAGCTGATCCTTATCATGTAATAAAAACAGTAGAATGGTTGAGTGATGATATCATAGATGTAATTACTCCCAAGTTAGTCTTATTTACGTCTTACATAATTTAGACACATATTTCAGTAAAACTTGTTTGTTATTACTATACAGAGTATATTTGATTTTCATAGCTACTCTGGATTTAAGAAGAAACCGAGCGGCATATAAAATTTATTATTAATTTTAAAACAGAAGATATTTAAATAAATTATTTTTTTTAGAATTTTGGGCGATATTCCGAACACATATGCGTTCACAAAAGCTTTGGGAGAAGCCTTAGTCGCAAACGAAATGGATAACTTACCAGTAGTAATTTTAAGGCCGTCTATAGGTAATGTTTTATTTAATATAATATCTGGAATAACAATATTGAAATAGTTTTATTAATAATTTTGAAGATCCTGGCTGATTAATTCAATGAATAAATATTTAAAACAATTTTCAGTAATTCCTGTTTGGAGAGAACCAATACCTGGATGGACAGACAATATAAATGGACCCGCAGGACTATTAATCGGAGCAGGAAAGGGAGTTATCCGAACTATGTACTGCAATTCTGATGGATATGCCGATTTTCTCCCCGTAGACATTGGAGTTAACGCTATGTTAGTTAGTACAATGGATTATCTCACTTTTGGGTAAGTAATCGAAAGGCTGGAAAAAATAAATACCCATTATCTAACATAAGGTCAACGAGCAATCTAGAAAAATTACAATTGAAGTTAGTTGTGAAATTTGAATGTTTTGGGTTGATAACGCATGTTTCAAAAGTTTTAAGAAAATAGTAATGGTAAAATTTTTTTAATTTATTTTGTATTTTAACAACATTACACGTAATATGGTCCTTATATGTGCCATTTGTCTTTGGACAGTAGCGATGTCGACTTCCCGAAGTTTCTGGTATATTCTGCGTCTTAGTTTTTCCTTATGATGGGCTTCCCAACCGTCATCGTACACTTTTCTGCTCACAATGGACCAAATTCCTTCAATGGATCTCGCCTGAGACATATTTGGAGGGTTGTCGACCTTGGGAACAAAATTATTGCAACTAAATCAGGCCAGAATATTATTTGGTGGTTGCGATGATAAATCATTTTTCTAGTAGAGAACATTTAAAATTTGAATCTTCAAGCAAAAGATAATAAATTCAACTACCACTTGAAATAGTCACAATTTTAATAATAAAACAAATAATATATGTATAAAAGATTTTTTAAACCGGCATGTTTTGGTTCAGATTCTTGTATAAAATAATTTTACAAATTAACTAAGTTATTATTAAAAGTAAGGTACATTCATTTCTGCATTCCACGACACCTTTTAATCAAACACCAAGACTTTTACAAGATTTATCACTTAGTTACTTTAAACAAGCCTCTGACTCAATAAAAAGAACAAAACTGCAATTGACCCTATAAAAATTAGGAATACCAATAAAGTTAAGGCGGTTAATAACAATGACGATACAAGAAACAAAAATTAACATAACACAAAAAGGAGCGACAGAAGAATTCATCATTAGTGAAGGTGATTCGCTATCAGTCACTCGCATTATGGTATGTGACGAGAAAAATTAATAAAAGAACACTGAGAATAGGGGGAGGACAAGTCATTGCATATACAGATGACATAGTTATGATTTCAAAAACAAGAAAAATCATGGTGAACATTTATAAAAGAAGGAAAAATTATGGGACTAAGAGCTAAACCAAGAAAAAACAAAAATCTTGAGAATAAATAACAAAGCAGCATCAAAAAGCATTAAAATAGGAAAACATGAATTCGAAGAGGTGCAAAAATTTAAATACTTGCGAATCACAATAGCTGGATACAGGAAATTGGAAATATCAGAAAAAATAGTCACTACAAATAAAGCCTTTCACGTAAATAAAAAATCATTTAAAAGCAAATTACTCACAGAAATCAAAATATTTTTTTTATTTTATTTTTTATTTATTTATTCTTACATTCAACGGCCAAGGCCTATTACAGAATGCGCACTTAACATTAATAAACATATATTTGTAAATAATACAATAAAAGCAAAACAAATTTTAAAGTAAAACTATAAATGAGATTGTATGAGTAATCTGAAAAAAACTCCAGTGGAGAAAAAAGGTTACTCACACATATCGCATGCGAAACAACTAATATATAAAGATGAAATTAGATACAAAAACATAAAAAACTTAATTACACTAAATATTTTAATTAGGAATATATGGATATAAATCAGGAATAAAGTTTTTTAATCTTTGAGATGGTAGTACAAAATAGATCAATTTCTTTACTCGAGTCATTAACCCTGGACACCATATGGTACAATGGAGACTGACATAATAAGTTTGTTCTGGGAGTGGGAAGAATGAATGTGCAGCTGTACCTGGAATTAATTCTTGGAACTAGGAAGTTAAGCTGAGCACATAAAGCCGGGCATTTAATTAAATGGTGTACTATTTTAAAAATGAAAATAATTGAAGATATAATTCTTCGTTGAAATAAGCTCTGCATTCCAAACATTGTTAAAAGCTGGTCTTGTGGGTATCCCCTCACAGGGCAAGTTCCATGAAAATAATAATGAAGACTCTTAAGGAAACGTCGCTGAACCTTTTCTAAAGTTAAAACGTGCACATTATAATTAGGGGACCATATTATTGAGGCATATTCAAGCTTGGATCTAACAAGGGCACAGAATAACAATTTGCACGTATCTAGATTATTAAAATCTTTGATAGATCGTAGGATGGAACCTAGAACTTTATAACAAGATGCGACAGTTATGGCCAAATGATTAACATTTGTAAGTTTTGAATCGAAGACAACACCGAGGTCCTTAATCGTGTCAGGTCTCTGGAGGACGACACCTCCTATATTGTAATCGTATCTTATGCAGTCACTCTTTCGCGTATATGACATTACGTTGCATTTTGCAGGATTTAACATGAGCTTATTATTTATACACCAGTTTTGAATTTTGTTTATATCGGTTTGCATTACGATACAGTCATTGTTGTTATTAATCATTGAAATAAGCTTCAAGAATATACAACAAGAAATATACAACACAATAATCAGACCAATACTACCTGTACGCAGCAGAAACAATGAGTATGACAAACAAAGAGGAATAAGATCTAAGAATTATGGGAAGAAAAATTATGAGAGCAATATTAGGACCAATAAAAATCACAAAAGAAGAATATATAATTAGAGGATAAATGAGGAAATTGAACAAGAACTAGAAGAAGATATAATAACAAAAATAGAACATTCCAGAGTTAGATGGTTGGGACCCGTTTGGAGAGCAGGAAATGGAATATTGGTTCATTCAATGTTACAATAGGACTCCGGAGGAAGAAGGAGACGTGGAAGACCCAGATCAAGATGGCTTACGGAAGTGAAAGAAGATCTACGCAAGGCAGGAGTGAATAATTAACAAAAAAGTACAAGATATGGAAAAATGGAGGAACATTGTAAAGAGTATTATCTAAGAGAATGAGATTGATCCAGCCAAAATATGGAACTAGGGAGCGAATAGTTTTTATCTGATAAGACGGAAGGAACCCTAATACAGATTACAATAATTTGAGAAGAAACATCGCCGATGTGTGACACAAGCATTTTAATTTAGTAGCTCTACTCCATTTGCATAAATTAGACAACTTTCACATTTTTTCTAGAAAACCCGGTGCGAATAGAAGGTTGAATCGTTAAACTATTAGATAAAAGAGGTTTGATTCGGGTTTTTTTTATTGTTATAGACGTCTAGAAGCATAACTATTGACAAAATTCCACTCGTCTTGGATCTCATGAGAACATTGCAGCTTGTATGCATGACAATGTAAGCATTTTTTAGAATGAGTTAGCATGTACCATAAAACAAATTTGTTTATTTGGCGACTTCAGAAATCGATGTTTTTGAATTTTCATCAATAACATACCGAACCGCTTCAATATTTTCAGCTGTACGTTTAGACGGCCGCCCATTTTCAGTTTTTTGATAGACACTAACAGTCTCTTTAAATAACTGCACATAATTTTTCAAAACATTGTAGGAACCATTGCAGTCAAACACTGATTTACGATGTTCTTCAAAGAAATCAGCCATGCATTCTGGAATTAAGTAGTGTTACTCGCCAATTTGGGCTCTGTGTTGAATAACATTTTTAACATTTAATTCTTTAATAATGTTTAACACAAACGTTCAGTTTCAATTTCAAAGTTAATAACAGTTTATAGCTAAAGAATCAGTTAGCTCAATTGGATGTTCCAAAATAACATCCACTCCAGGGATACAAATTCAGGATGCGCAGAAGACTGCTGTTTGAATAGACGGTTGTCATATTGTATTGGTTATAGTAAGAGAGCCCACTGCAAATTTCGACCGTCATCTGATAAGAAAATAAATAATGCTCCAAAGGCATGTAACAACATTGTACTTTACCAAATTGCACCTGTGCCAATCCCTATCCTGAGCAAAGTGGTTAAAAAATATATTTTATATTAAAAAAATTCACATAAGACATGACAGCGACAATTGTATTTCCTTGAAAATTGAAATCCTAATTTATTGCGAACCTACCTTTTAAACCTGAATTATTAATATTTTTGCCTACATTTTAAACTATGTGCATGTGTGAAAGGTTTGTCGTTTCTATGGCAACCTGTAAAAATGAATCACAACAATAGGCATAAAAATAAATTTTTAAATCAGCAAAAATTGACATTTTTAATGATTTTTACCTACTAATCGTGGATAGATGTTTTTGTGCGATGTTAAGAGGAAGAAAATGTTTCCCTTTAACGATATACACTGCTCAACAATTGAAGTGGATATTTAAAAATATTTATTTTTTATTTGTCAATAATTTAAAATAAAATAAAAAAATCATGTAACATAGAAAACATTTTATTGATTATATGTATAACTGAAAAGAAAAACCATTTAATTGAATATTACAGGAAAATTAAAAAATTGAAAAAGTAACAACAAAAAATTCTTCCATTGCGCACTTTACAAAATCCCTATAAAAAAAATGATATCTTGTTATACCTTCCCTGGCTCGTCTTAGTGCTGTCACTCTATTTGGCATGCTCTCTATTAAATTATTGATAAATTGCTGAGGTGTGGTTTCTCAAATTGCCGGCAACTCATTACCCAACTGTTCTAAGGTTTGGGGAGGCTGTTGACTTCGGTTTAATCGCCTAGACATTTCAGCCCAAACATGCTCGATACAATTCATATCTGGTGAACAGGGTGGCCAATCCATTCTTGTAATTCCACGAAGTTCTATGCGATCGTTTACAATTCTCGCACGATGAGAACGAGCATTATCGTCAACAAAAACAAATCGTTCACCTATTGCACCAAAAAATGGTACAATTATCGGCTCTATAACCCTGTCCCGATATTGCATGGCAGTCATTGTCTCATTAGTTAAGACCACTAAATCAGTGCGACCATTATAACATATGCCTCCCCAGACGCAAACTGATCCACCACCAAAAAGAGTTGTTGGAGCCATTAAATTTTCATTGTATCGCTGTCCTCTTTCTTGCTATACCAATATTCGGCCACCACACGTATACAAACGAAATCTGGATTCGTCGGTAAAGAGGCAGTGCCTCTAATTTTGAAAAGTCCAAAAACTGTGTTCTTCTACCCACCGATATCGATAAGCACGCTGCTCCGCCGTCAGTCTTGGGTGTGTTGCGCGACGTCTAGCTCTTAAGTTACATGCTTGCAACCTTCTTCTGATAGTTTGACCAGAAATTACTCTTACAGTAGCTTGTCTAAAGAAGGTGTTAATTCTTGAAGCCGTAAATGTTCGGTTTCTTTTCGCAGTCAGGACTATAAAGCGGTCTTGAGCACGAGTTGTAGGTCGTTCTCGTCCTCCCCTATGTGTGTACGCTGCAGATCCAGTTGCTTGATACCGATTCCAAGCACGACTTACGAGACTCTGAGACACATTCAGCCGCGTGGCGACTTCTTCTTGGAACAAACCTTCCTCTATCCAACACACTAATTGCTGTAGTTGCACTACCTCTAACCATCGTAGCGGCATATTCTTTACTCGAATACACAAAATTATTGATAAAAGTAACAGAACAAAGTAAGAACAAGCTCTTCTACACAACTGATACTCTACGATTTTTAAACAACCTTCTGCAATTTTCGTGAAAAAGATAAGAGCATTGACAACGAACAATAAACATGCAAAAAATAATCGCTGTAAATACGGTTTATTGATAATACAAAAATATTTTTTTTTTTAAATATGGTTACATATATCATGATTTTATCAATTATCCAGTTCAATTGTTGAGCAGTGTATATCAAGATATGTTTGAATATTTTATTTACTGGAAAACTGCTGTCATGCCTTATGTGATTTTTTTAATATAAAATTATTTTTTTAACCACTTTGCTTAGGATTGGGATTGGCACAGGTGCCATTTGGTAAAGTACAATGTTTTTACATGCTTTTGGGGTAAATTTCATTTTGTTATCAGATGACGGTAAAAATTTGCAGTGATTATGTATGCACTAGGGATACAAATCCGAGTTGCGCAATGTATAATAAACTGGAACATTGAGATCAAAAGTGGCGAAGCAGAGTGAGCGAACTGATTCTCTAATTATAAAATGTGGTTAAATTGTCATTTTTGGAAATGGTTAAAGCACCAACCCAAATTACTTAAATTTCGCAGCCTACTTCAATCTTGATTTTTCTCGATAGCTCGTTAGCTGGTTTCGTTGCCTACAAGTTTACGAGGTAAATGAGTTGGAAATTCCCACAAAAGAACTAGACACAAATAGAGCCCCTGGACTCTCCCTCGGTCACTCCTTCCATATTAAAGTCGAATTATGTCTATATAAAATATTTTTCTGGAATTGGCTCAATGAATGTGTCATAAAAGAAAACAATTCAGTTACATACGAAGTAATTCTCTGCCTTAGCAGAACTCGAACGTAATTTAGGTTCTGAGGCTAGTGAAAATAGTAAAATTTACTAAAAAATATTTTTAGGATTAAATTAAAATTAAAAAATAACGTTTTTTTAACGTGTTTTGTAATTTTCAGTACGCGTAGAATCTACAACTTAACCAGTTCGTCAGAATATAAAATCTCTTGGTCAGAAATTATAGAAATAGGAAGAACAGTGATAGAAACTAAAATGCCATTAAACAATGTTGCTTGGTATCCAGGAGGATCCATGAAGACATCTAGGTTGTTACATAACATTTGCTTTTACCTGTTTCACATGCTGCCAGCAATCTTTGTAGATGCTTTGTTGATGTTGCTAGGATACAAGCCAGTGTAAGTTAATTTATAATATGAAGGGAGTAAACTGTTACATTTTTCGAATTTAACAAAACAGAATAATATGTAATTAGGGCAAATTGGATGTTGGATGACATGGTGATGTTAAAAATTTATTGGAAAGGTAGAAAAGAAAAATGGGGATGACTTTAGAACTTTATATCAGAAACACTATTGATAAGTCACGATAATGCAAGAAAATACAAGTTGTCGATTCTGAGTCTAAATGAAAATGATCAGTAAGAACATTTTATTTGAATTATTTTGTTTGTAGGCTTATGCGTGTCCAAAAGAGGATAATAAAAGGTTTCGAAGTATTTGAATATTATGCCAATAATCAATGGGACTTCGTAAATGATGATTCGCTCAAGGCTCGATCAATTCTTAATCCAAGAGAGAGGGAAACGTACAAAATCGATGGCCAAGGTATAGACTATGTGGATTATTTTACTAACTGTGTCCATTGTACGAGATTGTACATCTTAAAAGAAACTGACGATACCATACCTGCGGCTAAGAGGCATATGAAAGTGTAAGTATTTATGTTTATAATTTATAATATAACCACAGTAATTTAAGAGTCAATTTACAATTCGCAATTTCTTTTACTTGTAATTTATTTTAAAAATAAATGCTGACATCGATGGACGTTGGCAGGTCGTGGTTGCGTCTCTATACCTTCAATCACGTGGAATGTGATGAGTCAGCAGGTCATTGTTTTGTAACTTCTCCATCCCCAGAGAAGCCTTGTAAGGGATGAACAAGACTTTCCCAGTCTTGGTCGATGTCTGATGTCTGCAAGAACTTGTATTGTTATTGAATCTTCTCTTGGTTCTTGTATTTTCCTTAGAGTGATAATTTGATTAGGCATATTCCTTGGAGAGGCATCATTTCTGTGGTGGAGCTGTGGGTGTTTAGCTTCGGTGGCTGTGGGATTTTACTTTAGTTTTCTGGTACTTGATATTCTTCTTATGAACTGAAGTTGTACTTGTCTCAACTGTCACAGAGCTGTCGTTCTGGACTACTTTCAGAGCAAATCTAGGAAGGAGTTTATTTCGTTTAAGGATATTCCTTGAGTAGATTTTGGAATTTGGCTTGTAATAGGTGTGTCTTGTTTCGTTTCTTTTATCTATGTTGACTTTCTTGTTGTCATTTATATGTTCATTAATTTCTTTGTAAATTTATTTGCTTTTCTCTCGGTGTTGTTCTACGTAATTGTTTAATAACATTTTGTTGATGTTCACTTCGAATGGGTCTCTCGTGTCTAGATGTCCATTTAATACTTCGATAGGTTTCAACTTAGTTGTCGAATCTATAGAATTATTTTAACCCAGGATGATGTAGGGTATTTGATCTTTGACGAAAATGGCCATTGTAAATATTTTCAAGTGTTCTACTATCGTGGAATAAAATCGTTAAATGATTCCGTTGGATTGAGCATTGTCAGGTATTATGTAGTGAATTGAAATTTTACGAGCATCTACAAAATCTTGCATAACGCCGTTTTTGAACTATGTACCACTTCAGCAATCCATGGTATGTGACGAAGATTAAGTGTACCTACTAAGTTGAATGTAGTTGTACCTTCTAAAGGATATGCTTATGCTTGACCGTTCTTGGAAAATGCATTCACAAATTGTTAGAGATTTATGTCCATTAGCTTGAAAGACATCGATGTGAACTGTCTTTAGAAGTTTTGTAGGACTTGGTGTGAGCATAAACTTCGGTTTCGGCGGAGTTCTGTCATATTTATTTTTTTGACATATATCACAGAAATTAATGTCTTCTATGTCTCTCTTCAGATTTTGCCAAAATATCATTTTCTAATTTGTAGTTCGGTCTCGTTCACACCTCTGTGATTTGTTTTTCCTTTATGGTAATTTTTTATGAGGTCTTTCTGGATTGTTCTCGTCTTTTAATAGTTTGTTACATTTCACCATATCGTAGGAATTGTATTTGAACATCTTCCCGATAGCCTCGCTCATATAGATGTATAGTTCGTCGCTTTCGAATAGGAATGTATATTTTCTTTTTGGCTATAAAAAGTCTTTGAAAAATTTGACTGTATCGGCTTGAAGATCGTTCTTTCCCATTTGGACATAGACTCGTAATTTGTTCGGAAAAATTTGTGATATTGCGGGAGGTCTTGCTTCATAATTCACTGTTTTGAAAATAATTTGCTGATTGTAGTAGTTAAGGGGTTTTTCTGAAATTGGGATTCCTAATATGGGATTTTTTATGCAGTATGTCTTGTGTTATCATCGTTTTCTTCTGGATCTAAGTTTTGTTCTTCGGTTTTTAAGTGAGTATCTGGTGCTTCTTCTAAAATTGTTGCACATTGACCATGCATCGTAGTCCTATTCTTCTAGTCAAAGCCTCCATCTGACTAGCTTCGAATTTGGCTCTTTTAGTGAAAATAGATATTGGAGAGGTTGATGATCTGACAAGATCTTGAACTTTCTCCCAAACAGGTAAGGCCTATAAAGTATTTGATGGACTATACTATTGCAATCATTTCTTTCTCGATCGTGGAATATTTTATTTCCGTCTCGTTTAGGGTTCTAGAAGCGTAGGCGATTGGTGTATCACTTCCAACAGGGTATTGAGATAGAATGGCTCAAATAGCAAAGTTGCTTGCACTTGTTGTGAAGTTAAAATGCTTTGTAAAATTCGAATACTGAAGCAATGGTTCGTTGGTCAGAAGGCTTTTGCAGGTGTTAAAACATTTGAGAAACTCTTGAGTATGTTCGATCTTGCCTTTTTGAGGTACCGGTCGTCGATTATTCTGTCGTTCACCTTTCTGTAAACCACGATACGACAATTGATTTTGCCTGAGGCATCGTATTTTTGGAGACAATCCATATTGGAGAGGACCATGGGGATTGACTTAGTCTTATAATCCATTCTTCTAAAAGAAAGGAAATTTGGTTTCAGACTTCTTTTTTGTGGATGTATCTGTAGCACTTCGTATAGACTGGTAGTTCATATTTTGTCTTAATATGGTTTGACTTTATTTGTAAATATAAGCGGGGAATCTGGTCGGTAAAATATATCTGAATATTTTCTGCACAGTCTACGAATATGCCCTTCCTCTTCCACGTTTAAGTGATCTGTTCTTTTTAGATCATCGATATTTTGTTTCGAGTTTTGATGTAAAGATGTTTTCGTGGAGTATATGTGGTATTCTTCGACGTTGAATTTACGACAGTTTACGGGTTCCAGAAGGGCTAATTGGATTGAATCAGATGTAGGATTTAAAATTTCTGACCACGCTAATTCGTCACTGGCGGTAGTGAGTGTCTATTTTATTTCAGCGTAATCAATGTACTGCTTGGGTATCAGGATGGTTCTTTGATCTTCTTTGACAGGTTTCTCACTCGGGCAATTAAGTTTGGTTCTACTTGATTGAGAAAAATTGAGATTTAATCAAATTTTCGGTTATCAGTTTGGATTCTGGAAAATTCAGTCGAGCTTGAAGGAATTTTAGATTCTCGGGGCCTATAAGACCATTAAATGTTTTGTGGAATTTAAAAAGGTAAAATTTCAAACTATTATTTGAAGAGAACTCTGGGAAGGAAGGTATTTCAGCAATGTAATTCTGTGCTATAGCAAGGGTGGTCTTGAATGCTATGTATTTCGTAGGTTCGGAGGGCCCTTTTTATTTTTGGAAAGTATTAAAACCGTTATAAAACATAGTGGCATTAGTTTAAGTTAAATCATTGAATATAAGAGGCAAAAACACAAAATATGCTACTCATTGTTTTTTCGGCAAGCATAGACGTGAGTCTTAGAAACCGCGGCAAAACTGCACACTGTCATCTGTCTCTTTCGATCGCAATATCGATCGAGTAGAAATTGGGAATGATTCCAAGAGTAGGCAACTTTATACACACATGTGTATATCGAGTTGTCGTAGTGGTAGGATGTTACAGTTCATAATTTTGGAAAATGGAACTAACGATAAATAATTCATATTTGATGTAGCTTTGGAAGCAATCGAACAATGAACCCAAGGCTCCAAAAATCTCAACTAAAATTCACTTTCGAAAAGCTTTAGGTATTATATCGAACAATATGATGAAAATTATTTTGAAGAAAATTTAGTTACAACCCAGAATTTTTCACAGAACAAAGCCCCATGGGAACAAGGATAGTAATATAAGAACAGGAAAATGTTCAAGATAAACCAAGAGTAAACTCTGAAACATAATCGAACTTCCCAATAAACACAGTTTAGCTAAAGGAGGCTTGCCGGATGCCGAACTCGGCTCGACATACGGGTGCAGCTTAGGCATATAGGTAGGGCATGTCCTCCCAGTCGAATGTCGGCAGCTCACTAAATTGTAGCCGGGTTCATATTATCCATATATAATTCGGCCCGTAAGGATGCCTTCCATGCCTGGCTCGCCAAATATTAACCGCGTTCGGCCCGTAAGGATGCTTCCCATGTCTGAAACGCCAAATATGTACCATATGCGTTTTCTACTTCTAAATTACGTCAAATAGTACGGTCCTCCAGGCTCAGAATAAACGCAAACTATTTGTGGTTTACTGGGTCCACTCCCAATCCGATAAAAAAACTTCCTTCATCAACATTTCTGAACTCCTCTTAAACTTCTTATAGACACTGGATCAACCAAATCCGGTTTTACCGATGGGCCAGTTTTTGGTGCCCAAGCGTTTTATTGCTGAGGTAGTCTAAATGTTGAAGATCTCAAATCTGTTCTTGGCTGATTAAATAATGGATCTTGGTAATTTTGTAATGATAATCCAAAAGGAGGTTGAGGGTTTGTATTTTTCATAATTGATGTCGCTATAGGGTGTGGAGGTTTAAAAACTTGCTGTTGCCATGGTAGTGGTGCAGCTGCTGGAGCAGATTGGTTGTTGTGTGTAGGCTGGCTGTTGTTGGTGAAAATGTTGCCTTGGAGTTTTGACGTTTCGAGTTGGTCTTCCATTTAGAGGTGCTGTATTCTGATGGTAGCTTTTCTGGGCGCACCTAATATTATTTTCTTCCTGAATGTATGGCGACGGTTAGGTTAGTTATTGCTCTTATTGTAAACCCCAGAGGTTCTTGAAGTCCTGCGGAGAATATTAAGGCTTGATGACTAAAGAATTCTTGTTTTCTTCTTTTTATTTCTGGGTTCTGGGTATGTACTTCGATATAGTTTGATATGTAGTTTAAAATACCCATCTTTTCTGGTAAAACTGATTTATGTAATTCATTTGGACTTTGTCGCATATTTACCAGATTTCTTTCAAGGGGGGTTTCATTACGTTTGGATGAACTTATGTTTGATGTCTTCTTAGCTTTAACGACCGTATATTGATTAATTTTTTTTAATTAGTTCTAAATGTTGGCCAAGTTGCTTCGATAGCAGTAATGGTTTGGAAGTAGGGTAAATACTTTGACGAATTCATACAACTCGTTTGGGTTCCCATCGAAATTTGGGAGGATGCATAGGTTTTTGACATCGAATGGAGGTACAACGTACAACCATGTTGGTAGTAGTAGAAACATCGGTGGTGGTTAGTGTTTCGTCTAGGTTTGAATTTGATACACTTAAGAAACTAAGGTTATGTAGTTAAAGTCTAATTTTTATTTATCAATATTATAGGTTTTTAAACCAATTTGTTATTTACTTTTTTGAATTTAAAACACCGTAATAATTCCATTGTAATATACTAATATTTATTTATCTTTTTTACAGAATGTGGGTAGTCGACAAACTATTTAAATTATTCTTCGTTGTGGGAATGTTGTACTACATGTGGACAAAAATAATGAAGCCTTTAGTCAATTCATACTTGAAACTTTGAACAATTTTTTTATACGCTATAAGTTACTACTTTTTAAATAGTTTTTGCTAGATCCGGCAAGAATTGACAGAAAACTAATTATTGGACTGGGTCCAGTGAGTGAAATTTGTAAAAGTTATACCAAACATTTATTTTTCTAGTTAAACATTATGGAGTCATTTAAATAAGATATTACAAAATTAATTTATAATTTTTGTACATGTGATTTATTGACAAATATTCTTATTGGTATGTAATGCTGCAAAATGAAACTTATTAAACCAGTTTTTTTTTGTATATTTTCTTTTTATTTAAAATTATTTTGTCTTGTTCTATAATTGCGTACCTTAGAAAATTAGATTTACATGATATTTGTAATATATTAGTTTTTTTAGTTTTAATATTTTATTATTTTACACATTTTTTTTTGTATAAAAATAAAATTTATTCATTAATAAACACGTTTACTTCATAAAAATCCTGATTTGACCATTTGGTACGCTAACATCATCAGGAGAGGATGTTTTTGTTTAAATTTGGTATCATCGGCATCGACTACTAAGGCCATTAGCCTCGTGTTCTGTGTAGGCTTTGTTACTGTTTCTCAGCGCCATTTTAGGAACAGCACTGTTAATTAGAACCCAACAGTGAATGATCGAGTGGGGAATCCTACCAAGGCATCAGAATTAATTTTAAATAATTAAATTAAATGAAAAAATCCCGACCAACGGTGGGATTCGAACCTGGGACCCTTGGATCCACAGGCAGTGATTCTACCACTGAGCCACCCACCCCCCCGAGAGGATGTTAAAAAAAAAACGTAACGAACACAATAATTAGGAAAGTTACTTACATTTTCTGAACGTGATGAAGAACACCGAGCGGACGCGAAGTGAGAGTTCGTGTCGGATCAAGAGGAAAATCGAGAAAACCCTTTTTTCACCGTTTTTGAGCGATGTTACAGGTTTAAATCGATGAATTATAAATTAATACAAATACCATTGAATAGTAATGTCATCGTACATAAAAGGACTAGTAGAATCACTCTCGAAAAAGCCGACACGGATACTCTCTTTACCCCGCCTATCACGGGCTGGTTCAGGCTGGTTCCCAGCAAACACAAACATGTAACATATATGTATCATTTACATGTACTAGTTCCGTGTTACATAACAAAGTAACTTACATGTTACAAAATAACTCACGTGATTACTGTGAAAAATTACCTAATTTTGTTATATAGCACGTTCCTTATTCGCTCCGTGCGAAAGGAAAGCAAAAGCGATACTAGCGCTAGCTGCGGATAATTCGTGCATTTTAGGGGGATATTTTGTAATTTTGGCATAACAAATACACGTATACATTTTACTTTTTTTCAAAAAAGTAGGTAAAAACACAATAAGCAACCGGAGTTGCTGTGTTGAAAATTGTACAAATACTAACAAAAAAAACAATGAAACTTATATAACAAATTTCACTAACAAAGTGAAAATTAAATCAAAGAAATAAATGGATAGGTGTACAATAAGAAGAAAAATTACCTTTATTTTTGTGATAATAACAGTAATGCTGGAAATAGTAGACATCAGAAACTAGAAAGTTTTTAAATAAACAATAAATTATCATTTTACGATGTTCTTTAATATCCCTTTATTCTTAAATGTTCATTCAGCAAGGACTAGATTTCAAGATTTCTGCCGTTGATAATAATATTTGGCTGGTATGCAATTTTGTGACTTACTGATCGGAAACCAGTTTTAATCATTCATTCTATGTTTTCTTTAGAACAAAAATGAAAATATAAGTAGCGATCCTTTTTATACATTTTAACTTCACGCTATTATAAATGGTTTCTTCAATGACAACTTATTAGACTTAGGCAACTTCTCATACATTTTCCAGTAAATACTGTTGCCAGCCTATATTTTATTATTGATTTTTAATGATTATACATAATTTTCTTCAATTTAAGCGTGAAAAATATATATTAATAATAAATTAATGTTTTAATTGTTTTATAAATCCATATACTTTTATTAAAACTAACATATATACTTTTTATTTACGAATTCTATTAAAAATTGTATTTGTCAATATAGGCAGAAATACTCCTTTAATACCAAAACAAATTGGCGCTGCTGTCGCGCACGGAGCGAATATTTGATGTAATGTGTTAAGTACTTGTAAGGAACAATGTTATATATCGGAAGACATGTAACATTTATATTACCATTGTAACATTTAATATGCTTCATTATTACAGCACATATACATTACTTTTTTCATATAACATTATGACATTAGTATTATAAATGTTATATAAATGAAGGTATATAAATGTGTCGTCTCAAAATGTAGGTATTAGTTATACAGTGTGTTTACTTAAGTTGGAACCATATGGAAAACATTTTTATTATTGATTTTGTAAAAAAATGTATTCTTGATAAAAAGTTCTACATGGTCTAAAACTTAACATGCAATTATAAGATAATAAGCTGTCTACGAGGTTTGTCTAAAAATATGAATTTTACTCAAAAGTTATTTTGAATTAAAAGTTATATTCAAATATGCAATTACAGTCATTTAGCATGAAAATTCAGGTTAGGTGATTATTTATGTTTTACATTATTTGTAGTTATAAACTATTTAATTACCAAACCTGAATTTTAATGCTAAATGGCCGAAATTGTATATTTAAATATAACTTTTAATTCAGAATAACTTCACTTCATAACATTCTTCTGTATTGTAAAACATAAAGGTACTTTACTCTTGAGAAAAATTTATATTTTTTGGCAAACCTTATACACAGCTTAAACAAATTGATATCTGATGGTTGCATTTTAAGTTTTGGACCATGCAGAACTTTTTATCACGAATACATTTTTTCACAAAACCACTAATAAAAAAGTTTTCCATTTAGTTCCAACTTAAGTAGACCCACTGTATGACAAATACTTACAAAAAAACGTCGAAAATATTTGGAGGAAAAAGAAAAGTAATTTAAACGTATTTGTTAGGTATATCAATAATTTTATTGGACAAATTCATAACCGAAACAAAAAATGTGTTATAAAAATATTGCACACAAATATAATAACCCAAATCATCATCATAAAAATCACAAAATATCTGATATTAACGACGATCCACGGCCTCAAAATTCAGGGACCCATAAAGCATTACCTGAAAAGAGAACAAAAATTAATATTTACACCTCAAATGTATCATCGAAATACAGCACACACATATAATAACTCAATTCCATTATAAAAACACAACATACCTGCTATTGTCCACAAAAAATCCAAAAATGCCACAGGTACGTACCTCCATAAAACGCTTATAGCCGCCATCGAACATTGAAACGCTACTAAACATAATGCACCAGACAGTGTTGCCAGAATATATTTTTGTTATGTACCAGACTTATTTAAAAAATGTACCAGATTTCATAAAAATGTACTAGATTCTATAAAATTACCAGATTTTCTAATTATGAAGTATGGTCTTAAAAAGCAAAAAAAGGTTTATAGAGAATACGAACACAACTTTTTTAAACAAAATTTTATCTCTCAACAAATTTCTGACACTATTTTTTCTCTCGAGCAGTTTTTGAATAAGATTTTAATACCTTTTGATACTCTTTTATCTCTGGAACAGTTTTTAAATCTATTTTTATCTCTTGAGCTATTTTGAAACAATATTTTATCTCTTGATAAATTTCTAACAGTATTCTATCTCTCGAGCAATTTTTACCAACTTTTTTTATCCCTCGAGCAATGTTTGTACAAAATTTTTTGTAAAATTTTTAACACTAATCACTCGAACAATTTTTAACATTTTTTTTATTTTTCAAGCTATTTTTGAACAATATTTGATCCCTCGTGTGATTTTTGAGCAAAATTTTAACAATTTCTAACATATCTCTCGAGCAATTTTTGAAAAAGATTTTAATACCTTTTGATATTTTTAACAACTTTTTTTTATCCCTCGAGCAATGTTTGTGCAATATTTCTTGTACATTTTTTAACACTATTTAATCACTCGAGCAATTTTTAACAGTCTTTTTTACCTTTCAAGCTATTTTTGAACAATATTTGAACAATATTTGAACAATTTTTGAAAAAGTTTTTAATACCTTTGGATATTATTTTATCTCTCGAATAGCTTTTAAATCTTTTTTATCTCTTAAGCTATTTTTAAACAATATTTTATCTCTCGATAAATTTCTAACAGTATTTTATCTCTCGAGCAATTTTTAACAACTATTTTTTATCCCTCGAACAATGTTTGTACAATTTTTAACACTATTTAATCACTCGAGCAATTTTTAACAGCCTTTTTTTACCTTTCAAGCTATTTTTGAACAATATATTTGATGTCTCGTGCAATTTTTGAGCAAAATTTTTATCAATTTCTAACACTATTTTATCTCTCGAGCAATTTTTGAAAAAGATTTTAACACTTTTTGATAATATTTTATCTCTTGAACAGTTTTAAAACAATTTTAAACAAATTTCTAATAGTATTCTCTCTCTCGAGCAATTTTTAACAACTTTTTTATCCCTCGAGAAATGTTTGTACAAAACTTTTTGTACTATTTTTAATACTATTTAATCACTGGAGCAATTTTTAACAGCTTTTTTACCTTTCAAGCTATTTTTGAACAATATTTGATCTCTCGTGCAATTTTTGAGCAAAATTTTAATAATTTCTAACACTATTTTATTTTTCGAGCAATTTTTATTAACATTTTTTATCTTTCTAACAATTTTTAAACAATGTTTTATTTTTAACTATTTTTTAATTCTCGAGTAATTTTTGAATAAGATTTTAATAACTTATGATACTATTTTATCTCTCGAACAGTTTTTAAACCTTTTTTTATCTCTTGAGCTATATTTAAACAATATTTTATTTTTCGATAAATTTTTAACATTATTCTATCTCTCGAGCAATGTTTAACAACTTTTTTATCTCTTTAGCAAACTGCGCAATATTTTAACTCTCGACAAATTTATAAAAATATTTTAACCCTCGATAAATTTTTAACAATGTTTTATATATCGAGCAATGTTTGCATAATATTTAATCTCTCAAGCATTTTCTAATAGTATTTTATCGTTCGAGTCAATTTTGAACAATATTTTATTTCTCGATAAATTTTTCAATAGTATTTTATCCCTCGAGCAATTTTAAGGGTTTAACATTTTTTTGTAATACTATTTTACCTCGTACAATTTTTGAACACGATTTTAACAATTTATAATACTATTTAATTTCTCGATAAATTATTAAATATTTTTATCTTTCATTAAATTTCTAACAGTATTTTTATCCCTAGAGCAATTTTTGAACAATATTTTACCCCTCAAGCAATTTCTAATACTATTTTATACTTCGACCAAGTTTTAACACCTTTTTTTACCTCTCAAGCCATTTTTGAACAATA